GAGCGGGTACGGGTCACGGGTTGATGGTATTCCAGACCCGAAACCCGCGGGTTGCCCTCGGGTATGAGACACATAGGCCAAACTCACTGTGAAACCATGAATAGAGTAAGTTTTGCTTGTGCAAAAATGTGTATGAGGTCTAAATTTGCCCGCAAGATTAATTTTCTCACTTAAAAACACTGTCCCTGGACGTGCCTGACATCGGAACCTTGTCGGTAGGCGATGCCGAGACCCGGATCACGGTCGGCAGGGCTTGCCGACGACCCGTGAGCAACCCGTAAACCCGCGGGTTCGGGTTCGGGTTTTACGGGTTGGGGTCCGGGTCAACTGATTTGTACCCGGACCCGGACCTGTGCCCATCCCTAACTACCGGCGGTATGGAAAGATTCTGAGGACGTCATGCCCTGCGGAATTGTCGTGTGATTCTGCTCATATAGTTTTCAGAAATGTACGCTGAGAATTGAGGTCGAATGCGAAAAATAAGTGATTGTCGTTCGCATTTTACCAATACACTGCGCAGTGGCCACTGATCAGAACATATTCATCGGTAATGACAAATGACTTACATCCACGAAATATTCGATCACACAAATATCCTTAATGGTATTGGAAAGGTGATGGCAGGGATCAGGCACGATGAGCACGGTAGCGACATCGGCCTGCACGAGTTCCCTGCCAAGCTTGGTATTGCCGGTGCTGTCAGAACCGAGGGACGCAAAGTGTTGCCTCCCAATCAAGTCCATGACCTGCAAACTGAATCAGCGCGGGCATCGAAGCGAGAAACCTAAATAAGAGCTCACCTCGAGGATGAGATTCTTTATATGTACGCCGGTGTGCGAAAATCCCGAGGCTTCGTCGCCTTTGATAAAGTAGACTTCGCGGTCGGGTGTCGTAACGTGGACAGACTTGCCGCTTGCGAGTGTCTGGGCCCTAGGGCGTTTCACTGGCGTGCATCGAGGCAGGCGCGTGACGCTTCGCATGAACGGACAACAAATCGTGATTATCCAGCTCGCTGTATTGCGATATGACGGCCCTGCTGAGAGGTGCCTGGTGGAGAGAGAAAATTCTCCGGATCTCACGGATGCCCACAGGACGGCAGATCATATTCCGCAGGCGTTTCAACGGCTCTCGACAGCCAGTAGACACGAGTTCTGGGCATCTCTGGTGCATGTGAAATTCACCAAGCACACAAGCGGCTGGTTACGCGACCGACAACGGCATTGAATGACCGCGGTGTGATATCATTCCGGATCCATCAGGGACGCTGCGTTGTCTCGTTGTCCACTTTGCATTTTGCATTTGTTCTCATAGCGCAGGGAAAGCGGCCCGGGTGTCGCTGCGTGATGGACCAGGATCAATTCAGCAGCAGTATCTGGGGTTCGACTCCCCGCGTCCACATTCTTCGACACTATTTTCGAGTCTGACCCAGGAAAGGAGAACTTGCGACGCGAAGCGACTGGGTTGGCAAGAGACGGATGGAGATGAATCCGCGGATGTGGTACTGCGGCTAAAAGCTAAACACAGCACTTAGGAGGTTCGGCACCCTGCATTGGGGTATGGGACTGAACGACTTTTTTCTTTCTGGAAGACGCCCCTCACCCTTGCTCGACCTCCTATCGTCGCACGGGCATGCAAGGAAAAACTCGAGGAAAAGAAGCCGAGTATCCTGGCCCCGAATCGAACGGGGTCCTTCCTCTGGACTTCCATCACGCGCATCGAATAGCTGACGAGGACGTACACCGTGCACCACCAGGACTTTCCCCCAACCACCGACCTAACTACAACATGCGAGGTACGCATCAAGTTGTAGCATCTGTCTATGAGAGGCTACGACCTAACTACACATCATCAACTGATGCAACCTCAGAAAAGGAGAAACAACACAGAGCATAGTTTAGATATGCCCTGGCCCCAAGTCGAACGGGGTCATGACAAGAAATTCATGAGAGACAGGGGGTTCTCCAGACTGTCCCGTAGTCTGAGTAGCAATTGGCACGATTTTCTCTGGTGAGGGTAGAAAGGATAGGGTAAAGGAAAGCAGACGTGGTGCACGGCGCACTGCTGCATAGAATAGTCCCATTTTCAAGGAAGCATTGAGCAGTAGATGGGGTTCGACTCCCCGCGTCCGCCTGGCTCGTTTGAAGAAAGCTTTTTTTTGCATCGTGGGAGCCAACCCGCCTCCTCTTTTCAAGAACTCAATGGGCAGGAGGAAGCGGACGTGGTGCACGGCGCACAACTGCCTTCACTAAGTATCCGAAATTGAACCATTCAGTCCGGGGTTCGACTCCCGCGTCCGCTTATACGACGGGTATGGTTTTTTCCCTCCCGTTTCGATTTTCGGATCGCGGCCGAACGGCGAGAAAGCGGGCGCAGGGCCAGCATATCGTGAGAGGCAGGGCGTGTGTTCCTTGTGCCATCAATGCCTTTTCTCTGTGTCCGTTGAGATTAAATTAAAGGACAGATGGGGAGAAAGCGGACGTGCACAACTGCCTTCAATATGAAGGACCAACCTATGCATCTGGGCCGCTTTTATCCTGGTATGCATACCGGCTTTTAAATGGTTTGCGCAAAACGAAATGACCCGGCAATCCCAGCACCAAATTTGCGCGCCACCGACGATGCTGCCTGGTTCGGGCCCGCCTACAGTACCGCAGCGAGCAATCCAAACACCCATTGCACCTGCTTAAACGCCTACCCTCTGGGAGAGGCTATCATTTTCAGGGGCTCTGCGCGCAGACGACCCTGCGAGTGAGCTGATGCTGGCAATAGGTGTTGTCGATGCAGGAAAGCCGCAGCACGGAAGGAAGGCTACGGGGATATAGGCGCTCTGAGGCTGCTGGTTTATAAACACCGGGTTTATGACTCCGGGGGAATTAAAAACACGGCCGTACCAGCAGTGGCCAGGGTGCCCGGGTTCGACCGCCTGTACGTCTGGTGATTCCCCCCCGTTTCGAATTTGGGGTTGCGAACGTAAAGGTGGACGGCGCGAAATTATGGGAGATGGGAGATGGGGGGGTCGTCTGGGCCCAACAACAGTTTGGGTGTCCAGATGTCCAGAGCGAGCGTTTCCCTCACCCGACGCGCCGTTTTTGGGTTCCTTAATTTCAGCTCGACGCCGAAGTGCGCGTGATGTCCTCTGACGCCGCGCGGCGGGTATCCCAGGTACGCGCACGCAAGTTCAGATGCCGGGGCGGTGGCCCAGGCCATGATCTTCTTGCAAGGCGATCTCGGGGGAGCGAATCACCCGAAGTGCGTGCGCAGCTCAACTCAACCCAACTCAACTCATCGTGCCTGTCTGCGGGCGAAGGCGATATCTGCACATGCGTGGGATGCATGCGCAGGACCGGCGGGCCCGATGATGTAGTGTGGATTTATAGCACGGGTACGGGTACGCGATATGTAGAACGGCGGGTGGGTGGATACGCACGCACGTAGAGGATAGAGGATATATGTAGCACTTGGTATGGGATACAACAGAACAGCGAGCGGTGAGCGGATACAGACAGACAGAAGGGAAATCTACGGGGCTCGTGGAGATGCGCGAACCCCCAAACCAAACATCAAGCGAGGAACGGAGGACGGCGCGCGCGCGGCTACCGCCGCCGCTCGGAGCGCACGTCGCTCTCCGAGTACCCGTGCGCGCTGGGGGGAAGCACGCGGGCGACAGAGCGAGCGGCGAGGTGGGGGACGGCGTGGGGGTTAGAGGGGGCGTACGGTCTGCTGCGCTGCGGGCTGGGCGGGGCGAACGCGCGGGGTGGGAACGCGGCGGCCGGCGAGGCGGGCGAGTGGGCGAGTATGAGGAAGGCGATATCGGCGAGGCGGGCGCGCCGGCGAACGCGGGGCTCGCGTGGTTGCGGAAGTGGCGGCGCATGTTCGAGTTGACGTTGAACGCGCGGCCGCACGCGGGGTGCGGGCACCGGAACGCTGCTCGGCGCGCATCAGCATCCAAAGGGCGCGACAGAGGGGAGGGGAGGGGACGCACGCGTGGCGCCGGTGTGCGTGTTCACGTGTATGCAGCGAGCTCGGGCGGTTGAAGCGCTTCGCGCACGTCGGGCACACGTGCTTCTTGCCGCTCTCGTCCGCGTCCTCGTCCTCGCCCGCGTCCGCGTCGTCCTCCTCGCCCGAGCCCGAGCCGGACCCGACCACGAGTCGTCGCGCGCGGGGGCGTAGGACGAGGTGGACGGGACGGTGGTGGTTACGAGGAAGGACCCTGTTCGATTCGGGGCCAGGCCATCTTTGGTATATATTTTTGGTGAATTTCAATTTTGCCCTTTCCCGGCATGCATCAGTCAAATAGGTCGATGGGAGAGGGAGAGCGTCCTGGTGGTGCATGGCGCACGTCCTCGCCGATTAAGTGGGAAATGTTCAACCTTGTGAGCGTCCGGCTCGGGGCCATCCATTTTTTGAACCTTTCTCTTGCATTTCTCACGCTGGCTGTGTTATCAGTCGATTATGCGAGCCGACCAGTAGGTGGATAGGCGAGGGAGAGTCCTGGTGGTGCACGGTGCACATCCTCGCCCTATCAACAGCGATTACAGGAGTGATTATGAGGAAGGACCCGTTCGATTCGGGGCCGGGGCAGGCTCCATTTTTTTAAACTCCAAGTCGAAAAATTAACTGGTCAGATCAGGCTGCAGCAAAGGGGTGACAGAGTCCTGGTGGTGCACGGCGCACATCCTTGCACAATAAGCCACATCAGATAGACTGATGAGGAGGGACCCCGTCGATTCGGGGCCAGGACATGCAGCAAATATGCACCATTTTTTTAATCTCCAAAAGTGCATATTGGTTGGTCAGATCAGGGTTAGCAAAGGGGCGACAGAGTCCTGATGGTGTATGGTGCACGTCCTCACCCTATAAACCGCAATTTTGGAAGTGATTATGAGGAAGGACCCCGTTCGATTCGGGGCCAGGACATGCAGCAAATATGCACGATTTTTTTAATCTCCAAAAGTGCATATTGGTTGGTCAGATCAGGCTGCAGCAAAGGGTTTGACAGAGTCCTGGTGGTGCATGGTGCACATCCTTGCACAATGAGCCACATCAGATAGACTGATGAGGAGAGACCCCGTTCGATTCGGGGCCAGGACAGAGTGCTCCCGCTTATTTTTTTTCCTGGCCTGTTTTCCCATTCAATAGGATGTTGAGCGAGGTGGATTTGAGGAGGGAATAGCCGGTGTCCTGTTGGCGCATGGTGCACACCCTCACCTGTTGATTGCGAATCCTCAAGTCCGCGTTCAATCTCAGGCTGGGGACAGGACATCTGTGGTTTGTGGCATGTATCTTTTGTTGAATCAAAACCGTGGCACCAAACCATAATTCGAGTTTTCGTCTCTTAGAGATGGGAGGAACTGAGTCCCGTTGGCGCACGGCTTACAACACCAGTGACCGCACCACCTGGGTCCAGTGCCCGCCCGCACGATTCTAGGCCGAGAGCCCATCGCCCTACTCACCCGGGTTGGAACGCTGGTGCCACAATCCGCGCGAGCGGTGTCGCGTTGGATTATCCATGGGGTGGTGACACGAACATGAGAAAAAATCGGACGCAGGTCTCAGGATCGCTTCCAACGAATGCAAAAATAAAAAGAACAAGGTCCTTTGGCCGACGACGTACGCGGAAGCGGGGAGTCGAACCCCATGTGCTGCTCAATCTTTCCACTGATAGGGACAAGTTGATGCAGCAGGATGGTGGACTCCCATGATGGGAGAAAAACATTGCCGGGAGTGGCTAGGCAGACGCGGGGAGTTGAGCCCTGTCTACAGCTCACACACACGGTTTCGTCTTTCACATTGAAGATAGTTGTGCGCCGTGCACCACGTCCGCTTCCTTCTGCCTATTAAGCCCCCAATGAACAGGACGCGTACGGTAGGCCCTCATAACCATCGAAAAAGATGCCTGCCTCCAAGCGGACGTGGGGAGTCGAACCCCGTCTACTGGTCAGGTTGTCTCGACGCAATGGGACATTGTGCACCGCACTACGTTGCTGCTCCTCTTCCCACCCAACTCCAAGTGCACCCCGACGCTGTTGTACATTCGGAACAAACCCTTTCACGGGTCCTTAGTACTAGGGATCCCCACCGTAACCGTACAATACGGCATACAGTTACGGTTTTTACGGTAACCCGTAACCGTATCGTATGGCCCTCTGGGAGCCTCGTACGGTTACGGGTACGGTACGGCTTGTGAGAAACACCGCCGCCTGGGCGCCTGGTGAATTTGGTGGGTCAGGATGAGCACGAGGAGGTAAGAATAGAGTGAATTTACACTATTTGCGCTCACACACCTTTATTCGACGCTGTTCTCGACGCCCGTATACCGTAAAAAATACGGCTTTACGGTGTAGAGACCCGTACCGTATACCGTCCCGTATGGCAAGAAATTCACAACCGTAAGATACCGTGATCTTTACGCGTATACGGTACGGTGGGATCCCTCCGACTCCTTACTGAACTCCCGCACCTCGCCGAGACCAACCCCATAATAGTCATTTACGTTTATCCGGCTACTAACTGACGCCGTCGCAGTCGCCAGTTGAAAGCCGCCGAGCGCGGGATCAGATTATCATCATCAACGATGAATTGTTGAGGGATTGAGACCCTTGGTCAGCACCGGCGATGCGACAAAACGGGAGGCCACGCGTCCTCCACGCCCGCCGCAGCGGGGGCGTCCGGGCGTGCGGCAGATGCGCGCACGAATGCAGAACAAGGGTTGTCCAGCCAGCTCGCCGTCCCTTGTTCAAGTCGCGGAACCGCGTGACGGACTGGAGGATTGGCGCGCGTAAGCGCGATGACAGTCGACTCGGAGCGGCCCGCAATATTGCTACCAGCGCGGTTCGAAGGGACCTCCAGATTAGATAGATATGTATTGGATTGGGGCTGAGGCAGTGTTGCAATACGACGCCTCCGCAGCAGAGATGCAAGATCCACTCCGGTGGACTGCCGTGTTGTGGAAGTTCGGGTCGAGCCGCGTGGAGGATTGGCGTGCGTAAGCAGCATGCGTGTCTCATTGATGCCAGATGCTGTGCAGAGGTGGACACGCGCTGGAAGATATATGGGAACAGCGGCCGCTGTGGAGATTCGCTGAGTTCTGTTCAACGTTCAACCCTTGAGTGCACTGCAATGTGGCGTCGGGCCCTGATAGACAATTGTATATCTTGGAGACTTGGGACAAAGTCTCTGCCGATCGGCGGCTGCTATTTAGGAAAGTTTCTTGTGAGATCGTGGAGATAGATATCTTATAGCCTTTTATTACCAAGCCTGGACGCTCGTACGGGGGCAGCAGACAGACATCTACAGTGAATTTAATTGTAACGTTAGCTGATTTAAAGTGAGCGATCGCGTTCGCGAAACTATCCGATTGTGGATGACGGGGAACAGCGGTTACCATGTCGATGAATGAAGATACATACCACGCATCGGGTGCCGGGGCAGGCGGCAGAGGCACCAGGCGCATCAGATCGTGTTAAAGTTGTTCAGGACCGCGGAGTACTGTCAATCTCTGTCAATGTACATGGAGACTTTCGAATGGGCGGTGATGTAGATATCGGTGAACGAAGTTAGAATTTTGAATAGGATCCGCGGTATCGGCATCAGAGAGCTGTATCGGCGCACACTGACATAGAGCCCCGGATGTTGACACAAGTGATGGTGGCGTTAATCTTAGGCCCAGATATAGCACGCAAGTAATTGGAGAACGATGAAGTGAACATCCAGGGGCGTAAACCACGCATAAACCATCGTAGACTAGTCAGCAACAATCAGACCCACTCCGCAACACAGTGGCAAACGCCGGATTACGCAGCGGAACGAGCTGAGGGCGCGGCGTCTTTCATGCTCGCCGGGTGACGTGTCGCCGAGATGGCCTTCGCACTTGCTTGGCCTGGATGGGAAAAGATGAGCGAAGCCCCGGGGCCCGCGACAATTTGGAGAAGCTGTCAGGGTCACACAGCATACACGAGGCCGCCGGCGAGTCCGTAAAATGCCGACAGTCCGAGCGACGCGGTGGATACTGAAATGAGGCTTGGAGGGCTTCGTGAGTTGTGACGGAAGCGGAGAAAGAAACGTTGGTTTGGTTCCGACGCTGACGCCAATCATGCACAAGCATCGCATATTCCACGATTTTCTCTCTTAGCGTTCACCGTCGGGGTACTAGTACATAACTTGCCCAGATCGGCGGAAACAAGTGTTCCGTCACTCTACCGCTCTAAGGCTTCCGCAGACTAATACTTGCATCTTCCCATGGTCCGCCGGATTTTGGATGAAGTTAAATCCCCCGATTCGCGAATCGCACTAGCCAGCTGGCAGGAATGCCTTGATCGATTAGATCTTTACTAGTTCTCCTTGGATCAGCGTGTAACTGCTAGCTACTCCCAGCAAATCCGCCGTCCACTCCGCGTCTTGCTGCTAGTATCCAATCCAAGCTTAGCATACCCGGGCGCTTCTCTGAATCATGCTAGGTTTAGTCACTTATTCCCATGCCAGTGAGCCCGAGCTCAAGTCTAGCTCCCCGAGTTTTATCTGCCATTCATCTCGCCATAACTTGTGAGCTATCTTTTCCAAAAGAACCCCACCCACCCGAACACCACGGTAAAGAGACAACGAAATCAACACCCTAACCCCCTGCCGTGGCCTTTCGCCTCCCCCGATACTGTGGGGCTCCGCGGACTCCTCACCCGCTCCCCAAAATCTTGCCTTTCAATTTCAAAGCCAATGTCAGCGCACGCTCCGCGACCTCCGGCAACCAAATCCGACACTGCGAGGCATGAGGGTAATGTTAATATTGAGTCTAACGCTGCAAACTCAGACTGATTACCACACCGTCGATCAGCTGCGGCTACCTAGCGGACCACGTATGCGGTTGAGCGGGGGCGTGCCGTGCCAATCTCTAGAAGGAATGCGTGGCAGCCCACACTTCATACCCGAGGCATTAGGACCGTTCCTGAATAGGTCCGACCATGATGACTCCAAATCGCCCAAACTCCTCCATCACACCGGGTGTGCCTGGTATGTACGCACCTCCCCGTCATATAAACGACCTATCCCAGCGTGTAGCGGTGACCTGATGGGACGTCGATCACCCCCAACTAACACCCGGCATAAAAGCCGGTTAGAGCCCGAGGACCAGAACGGCTTGAGGTACGAGGACGCATCTCGTTCGGTCGGTTGGCCGCATCTCTGCAGGTCCGCGGCTCATCTGTAGGCATCCCAATGGAAGTCCGGTTGGTGAGCTCATCTTTGCCTCTTTGCAAATCAGGTAACTCAGACTACACGTTTGGAAGACGTGGCGCAGGGTTGTCCGCTTACAGCAAGTTACACCATCGGTCTTCCATACGCCATCTCAAGCTATCCCTAAGTCGACCGCTAGATTGCCGAGGCCTTTCTCGAAAATAAAATAATCCTTCCAGAGTGCGAAGACCCGAGTCGGCCGAATCGGCGTGAATGCCAAGCGAGTAGTGCCCTGAATCGACGAACTTGAAAATTGAAGCGCCTTTATGATCGTCGGTCCGTTCATAAACCTCCACAATCGACCGGAAGCAAGCTGGACGTAACACACTGCGTTCCACAGCTTTGTAGGCAGACCCTGCCGACATGGTGTAGGCATACATGTATGCCTGCATTGGTCTACCCCCGTAGGCAAACCCTCTGCCTACAAGGCTAGGGAACGCAGTGACATTTGTAGTGCGCATATTGGACTCTGGGTACTGACATCAATTTGATAGAAGGCCAGTTTCCCGACCAAAAATTGACGTCGAACGAATCGGAAATACCGGATTCGGGTCAGTCAGGGCGGAAATCGACGTAGAAAGTAATCGGCGAATCTCCGGACAGCAAATCATTTATAATTCTTGTTGTGTCCGTGGAGGTGCGCATGGATGTACATAGACTTCAATAGTTAACAACTGCCAGTGCAAGCGCGTGGAATTACGGCAGCCGGTGTCAACTCGGGAAACACCGGTCCACAAACGATACCACGGCGGAAATTGGCCTTTGAGGCGGTGGTGCGTTCCAAGGATTTTCCACCCGAAACTTGGCGGTATGAATTGGAGTCCATTAACACCGAGGAGTAGACGTCCCGCCTGCCCCCCCAGATT